CATTGTTAAAGTCATCACCTGAAGAACTGGCATCACATGCAGTCCGCGCAACACCGCTATCACCGTCAGTGAAGTCCTCTCTCGGGAAAACCTTCACCGGCCCTCCTTTAACATGGCCCTTCATTCCCGGAAGCACACTACCAGAAACCCCCTTTTTGTGATTCAATCCCTGACGGTCCACTCCATTCTTCTGCTGATTACCCTTCCGAGCCATGTAGCTATGAAAACTTTTAGGAAACTACTCCAAAGAAAGGCTCCAACTCATACCATTCCAAACTTCATTAGCACTACGCCCTGATTAAAACAGGAAAACGATAGATTAAGCCCAAAATCACCGTGCCGCAATCATCCACACATTAAGACCAAATAGCAAGTAGTTCCACAGAAAAAAAAAATTGACATTCAACATCACATGTGCACAATAAACCCTAAAATCACAGAATAGATAAAATCCCGTACACCACGTGAATAAATTAAAAATAGGAAATGATTAGGGTTCGAGATAAGGAAGTAATACAATAATCGAGTGATCACACAAAAGAAACCGCCGATACAGGTAAAACCAAAAGATCATGCGAAGAACGAGTAACTCGAACTACGCTGCGTTACCATTAGAGAACGTCGAGAGAAAGAGTATCAAAAACCCTAAACGCAGAAGGATCGTGTGTGTGTGTGTGAAAGAGAGAGAGAGTTCTGTGAGAGAGAATCAGTGTTGAGAAGGGAATTAGAAAGAAAAAGAGAAAGATAATAACAATTTGTGCATCTTGTTTCTTGACCGAGGACTGGCTAATGTGTCATCCACTCACTACTCGCATTTTCAACGCAAACCACTTTAATGCAAACGGAGTTACCATGTCACCAACCAAACACACCTTAATTCACGTGTTCCCCTACCTTTTCATGATAATTAATATGATTATCAACAAAGTTTTATAGTCCATTATCAGTAATTAGCATATTACATTATTTTTACACTATTGTTTTTTCACAAAAATATCAAAATTTTATCTGTCCTAATCTACTTCAAAATGAGGTAGGTATTTAATTTTTCTTTCTTAATTAATGTTCTTTAGCAAATATTAATGTTCTTTAACAAATATGGTACTAAATTCTCTTGAAATTATGAGGTGTATTTGCCTTATTTAGAAAAAATAGGTCATAATGGAAAGATAAATTTACTCTTATCTGAACAAATTACTGTAATAAGTTTGTTTCTTCATTTAAAACCCAACCAACTCCATGTCAAATGGCTTTGTGGTTTTATAAAACAAAATATAAGTGAGTTTTTTCCCTTTACATTTTTCATGTGTTTCGTTTTATAAATAGGCTTAAATATTTTTTATGCTATAAAATATTATTTTGGTTTTTTTTCTTATGTATTTTAGGAATATGAGTGACCAAATTAAATTGGTTTAATTGCATTGAGTTTAGTAAGAGATTCCTATTTGTTTAATATGGAATTGAATCGAGTCATCAATTTAAGTAATTAAAAATGCAACATTAAATTTTAAAAGAAAATCTTAAAATCAATAACCTTCAACTTTTATTTTTTCTTACAAGTCAATATATTACTCATGACACAAAAAGGTAATTCTCAATAGTGAAAAGTCAAATAATAATAAGAATTTTGTTACAAATGGGTATTGGTATTGCTGTCGTTGGAAATGGATGCGTATAAATAAGACTGGTAACACGAGTTAATCCATTTTGATCCGTTTTGTTTTTTATTTGTCAAAATCAGTTTGGTCAGTCACAAAAAAAACAATCATAAATCTCAACTTGTTTTTTTTATAGGATGGATTGGCCGTTATTTTCTTTTTTAATTTTTTATCTTTTGTTTATATATATTAAAGCATATTTAATCGTATATAAATTTTTTAAAATTTTAATTGATTAATTATCATTTTTAATTAAATAAATAAAAATAATTATTACATTTACATATTAAATTATTATATTATACTAAAATAAAAAATTAATTTATGAATGTTAATCATTTAAATTATAATAATATTACATAAACTTTAACCAATTCAATTTGACTAATATTCAAGTTAACTTGACTTAAGTCATACTTAACCTGTTATTTATCATGTTGGGCCTAAACTAATCTTGATGAGGTTAAGTATAACGTAATTTTAATCATGCTAAGCCTAATTTAATCTTAATAAAAAAAATATGAACCTTCTTTATTTTATTTATCCTTTATTTTACTCTTATTTGTATATCCTTTAACTTTAGTTTCTTTTGTTTTGGTTCCAAAATATTCTCCGGTTGTTTTGACTGCTGAGGAGAAATAAAAATTAAAAAAAAATGAGAAATAAAAAACCCTCTATTTAATTGGGACGGAAAATGTTGTCCAAAACTTAATTTTTTATGCTCTAAAAATGAAAGAAAAGGATTTAATGGGTTTTGGTATGTAAAAGTTTTTTTTTTCAAAGGAAAAAGTGTTTCCTTTGTTATTATTTATTTTATTTTTTTAAATGGCCATATAATTTGTGTCTTGAGAGATGTATATTTAATATATATATATATATATATATATATATATATATATATATATTATATTTCATTTTATTTTATTTTACTTTCTAGTATACGTATAAATTTTATATTTTTTCAAACTCACGCCCCTACACTGTAAAATTGTTTCTTTGAACGTAAACATTTTTTCTTCAATTATTTAAGCATCCATCTAAAGTGATTATGACAAGAAAAAGTTGTAAAATAACGTATCATACGTCTAATTCCAAAATAAAGCACGCAAGAATAAAATGCAGTTAAATTAAATTAAATTTAAAAACTTTTACATTTAATTTGAAAATATTAAAATATTGTAAATTTGTTTTTTTAGTTTAAGTAACTCCCTCACTTAAGCAATACTGACTGTCTTCATTATCACCAACATGATTAGCGTAGTTGCTAATTACCAATTTATTTCTATCACTTCTATAACCTCTACCCAGATCACAACACTCTAATACAGATAATAACAATAATAATAATAATGATAAATGATATAGACATTTAATTATATAGGCCTAAATTAATGACTTGTATGCTTACTATCAACTGCACATAGCAAGAGGTAGGGGACGTGTAAAAAGAGAATGTGCAGAAAACGGAAATGTCCAAGGTTCACGAGAAAGAAAGGATCGTGCAGTAATGTGAATCTACCATATAATTTTCTTTTGTTTATAACAATGTTAATGAAAAAATAAGGTATGTTTGGTCACCTTTACTCAAATTTCCAATGAATTTCACACCTTCCAAACAACCTCTAGAGAAAACTGGAGTTTGAAATATATAGCAAAAACATCCTAAATAGGACACTCAGTCAAATGAAACAAGAACATGAAAAAACGTATCTTCATTTAACCAATACAGACCAAAACTGATATTTTTCTCTACTGACTACTATATTGACATGCACAAAACAACCATGAGATCAATTCTAATTTTATTTTTCTTTAGGTCACATAATCACATGTGAATCCTACCTATGTGAAAGATCAAACCTTCTTCATTCTGCTAGGGGGAAGTGATTCAACTGTGTTGCTCATACAGTCTATCCAACAGTTTTTTATTCTGTCCACCCAAAAGTCTCAAAGAAATGTTTTGTTGCATGAAACCGCTACATGAGATCCATGTTGCCTTGCAGCATTTCATAATATGCATTATTAAATTTCCAAACAGAACAAAGTGAAATCTGCAGGTCCTAGACAACTAGTGCTTTTCATTGCTGGATCAATATTTACATAGGCTTTATATGACATTATTAGATAAAAATACTACGCAATCAGAAGAATGGCTACTAAAAGTGTTTCGTGCTTGTCACAAAATAGTGATAGTTTGGACTGAAGAAGTTAGATAGATACCGCATGTGAAAAAAATTGTCATTTCATGTAACAACCAGCAAGTGTTATCAATGAGCATGAATTTGCAGTGATGATAAACTGATGCTGAGTGTTGACTCACTGATTATAGTGTTTAAGTGTTTTATTCACAAGCACACCTGTTTTTAAATAGCAATGCTAAATTCGCCTACGTAAAATAGAAGAGTCTGGATATCTACCAAGCGCTAACAATAAATTCAACTCATCCCTGGAAGAAGTCTTTTGTGCATGAGACTAAGAAGAAGTGTTCATGTTGTTTCATACCAAGAGAAAAGAAAAATAGTATGTAATTTAGGAAGTTGCATGTGAATATTGCAAATAAATATAACAAACCCAGTATTTAGTTATAGGCTCCTGAAGCCAGACATGCTAAAGTTGGACTGTTTAAGCTTGAAAAGAAAATTAGATAACATAAAATAGAATAAATACATAACTGGCTATTCAGTGAACAGGGTATTATACACTACATATAATTTACATGCACTCCTAGTTTAAATTTTTTTACAGTGTTACTGTTCAGAAATTATCCCACTCATAGTTTTGACAAACGTAAGTTTTTTTCTTTTCTGAAAAATAATTTGTCTTGGTAATATTCCAAATAGGTCTGTCCTATAAAAGGCCACAAAGGTCCCTCGTTAAGAGCATCATAACTAAGAATTATCCTAATTGACAAGGGAGAAAGAGAACCCAAATTAATAGGACTATATCTAACAATATGGTGCCTGAAGGATAAAATCTCTAACAATATGGTACCTAAATGATAAAATAAAGAAATTTATGATCAATAGGATCATAACTAACAATTATCCAAACAAAATATAATGATATAAAGTTTTTGAAATCAGGAATTCTATATGCGGATATTATCAAGATAAGGAAAGAAAAATAAACAACAAAAACTAAAATAGCTGACTATTTAAATAAAAAAAGGGTTTTGTTTGGACAAACTTTTCCATAGACTCTTTTAGGAGAGAAAACTGAAATTAAGTTCTCCATAAGCTAAAATTAGCTTATGTGCAAATTAAAAATTTAGAGAAGTTTATATGAGAGAACTTTTATGATTTAGTTTATGCAAAAGAGAAGCTAACTTCAGTTCTTCCCCTTAGCAATCCTAATCATTGTGGAATTATCAGGTATCCACCACATCAAACACATAAAAGTGGCTAACAATATCGCCACAAGATTTAGTTGATAGAGAGATAAATCTCACCTGTTTTGTACTTTGTGCGAGTGACAGATAAATCCAATAGATGATGCTAAAATATTTTGTGATAGGACCTTCATGGCAAAGTCAATGAAATAATTTTAAAATAAAATGTATCAGAAAATACAATATCTTCCAGCAAACAATAATTGGCTAAATGAGTATCAGACGCAACCACAAATATATGTACAAAGGCTATTTATTGAAGCCACAACTCAGTTACAAGAGACAGCGGTGGAACAATATAATGGAGCTTCAATGGCAAAGCCAACACCATAGTTTTAACATGACTACAGAAACAAATGATATCTAAAGCAAATAACATTGGCTTAAATGAATATAAAACACTTGTAACTAAAAATATATGTACAAAAGTTATTTGATGAAGTCACCGTGACTCAGTTGCATGAGAACATTGTGCTGCGATATGCATGAGCAGAAAACCATAATGGGAGTGTAGAGCTATACTTCACAGAGTACATTTCTTTCCAAACTTGACTCTTGCAATGATACACCAAAATCTGCTTATGAGTTGCCAAAAAAACATATTCACCTGTCTGACTGATCGGGAAAATGCCTGGTACCATTCCTCTGATACACCTCAGACTCACCTTATCCACCATACACCATTCATCATTCCAGTAATCTTTTAGCACCCATATATTCATCCATGCTTCTGAAATTTTAATAACAGACAAGCAGCCATCAAAGTCCAAGAGATAAATCCTATAACCATTTCCATAAATCAAGTCATAAGGTAGTTGCATCTTCCTCCAAACGTCACAACTTAAATCAAGCACAAGTATATAAGTAGAGCTAACTGTCAACCAGTGCAGAGCATTATTGACAAAAACAACCTGGTTCTTATTCATGTGAGTGAAATGGTCATCTTGTAATGAGACAAACTTCCTCCACTTGTTCAACTCAGAATTAAAGACCAAACATATGAAACTCCCATCCGGCCTATGACCAAAAGTGCGATGGTAGCCCGCCAGAACAACATTGAACTTCTGATAAGAAGAATCACAGGCCAAGCCAACCAAGGTAGCCTCACCATCCGGATAAAACCGAGTCACAGGCCTTTCCCTACTCTTGGGAAGCAACCGGTACTCGCGAGTGACCGGATTGCAGACATAGAAGACACCCTTATCAGGAATACTAGAGCAACACAGCAAGCCATTACAAGATGCTCGAACCTTAACTCTATCATTCAAGAAACTCAGTGAAAATTCAGACACACCCCTTAAATTATCAACACATATTAAGCTAGATTTGGACCCATACGAATCAGAAACCTCGACCAGAATCATGGGGTTCTTCCTAGAAACCTCATTGTAGAGTTGAACAAAATACTTATCCAAAGACAACCTATTCCACAGTTTGCACACGGTTTTGAACTTGAAAAGGGACTTCACAGGCAACCTTGCAAGAATCTGAATGACAACCTCATCCGGGAAAATCCCATCTCCTCGCATATCCATAACGGAGAACCTCAAATACGAAATCAGAACATGAATAGCAGATTTTTTTTACACGAAATAAACGCTCGGGTACCCAAAAGAACAAAGTTAAAATTTCGATCTTTTCTTACCGGAACAAAATTCGGGGTATCCGATGAAGAAAGGATTCAACTTTGGGGCGGTGGTGGGTTTGCGATGGTTGGAGAATGGGAAAGCGAACAATGGGTCTTCAAATTTCGTTTACGTTTGAAAAAAATAATGGGGGATATGTCGTCATTATCGCCACACAAGCAAGATTGAATAGATAATATGGCTAAGCGTTTACCCGAAAACGTTCAGAACTTAATGATTGGAATGAGAAGGAGCATGAAATATGAATTTGGTCGCACAATGAAAATAGAGGGAGAGAAGAGAGAAGAAAAGAGAAGGGGATCGAATCGAAGGAACTTGGTATGTGAAGAATGAAAAGTAGACATAAACGAGTAAACTTAGGATGTATTTGATGTGATGAATGCAGAATTAAGACCAATAGAGGGTTTTATTTTGTTTAGTTCATCTGGCAAGTAACCTCATAAGAACTATGTATTCTGTCAAATAAATTTTAAAAAATTATATAATTAATAAATTTTTATTAATTATAATATTATGGTGTTTTTCTAATATTCAACAGTATAAATATTTTATTAATTAAGGAATATCTAACTTCTTAAAAATTAATTTTTAACTGAATCACACTACTTAAAATAATCACTATTAGCTTAACTGTATTAAACAAAAATAATCATTTTTATTGTTTTACTTGTTTGCTATCAAACTGAAATTTTAGTTAAGAAATTGCTATAAACATGATATTTAAAAGGGCACTATAAATTTAATTTACGAATTATAAATCTCCACATATATGATACAATTGAATGCACTAGTGTATAAGATAGAATAATAATAAACTAATTAATTGTATCTCGGTAAAAAAAAAATATTATATTTGAGAATAATTAAAGTATACAAAGTAGGTGAAGAAAGAGGTTAGACTTATACAGTTAACATTATAGTTAATAATTATCTTTAAATTTGATATGTTTGTATTTTCAATAAAGGATCCTATTTTAATGATCTTTTAAAAGTTTCTTATAATTGAATTCTATGACAAAGTATTCATCTTGTCAATATACATTTTAGTTCTTTTTTAATAATATGAGATTTTTTAAATTACAATTTGTGATCAAACGATAATTAGAATATATTTAATTTGATTAAAAAGTTTATTTATTGCATACAATAATATGAATGAATTGTGGAAATATACATGTATCAAACATTTTTGTTACCATCTATTGCAAAACAGATTAATAGAATATATTTGTAACATTGTTTTTATCATCTATTGCAAAACAAATTAATAAACTATATTCGTTCAACATTTTAAGTATTATATATTTCATCAAACACAAATGTTTCATCCGACAACCTCAAATGCAAAAGCAACACATATATATTTCGTCTTATAAGTTTGTGTTTAGACAGTATTTAGACATAAGATATGTAGTAATTTGTCAGTGAAAATTTCGCCTAACCTATATCAAGCTTTGTTGTTATTATCTATTAAAAAGAATACACAACTTAGGGTGTGTTTAACAATATTTTTCATCTATTTTTCTTAATATATATATATATATATATATAAATTTTATACAATGAAATAAAAATTAAAATTTAACTACCTCAGTTTGAAAATAATTTAAGAGAGACCCAATGAAAAAAAATTCAAAATACATATGCTAAAATTAAAAGGATATATTAGCAAGCCATTTCTAATCCCTATAATGTTCATATTTAATATTTTATTATGGGATTTTTTATGCTGACAGGACACTGTTTGTTCTTTTCAGTACACATATAGTATAGTGTTTTCTATATTTGCCTCAGCAGTATCTTTGTCGGAATACCAATCAAATTTTGAATTGGTTTTTTTATTTTTTATTTTCAAATTAATTAAAAATAATATATTTTAAATAAAGTAATATAATATTTTAATATGGGGAAAAATAATGTAGGAACATTTGTAGTGTTTTGTAAAATTTTGGATGAAAAAATGTTATATATATAAGATGAGAAAAATTATATTTATGGTTGGATTTTGTAAAAAAAAAAATTTAATTTTTATGTAGTTATATTTTTTTTATTAAAAATAATTATTAAAAGTTAATAATAAGATGAATGTATATTTTGGAATTGAGTATTTAAATATTGAAAATTAGTTATTAATAGATATGTAAAAAGAATTACTTAATGTTAGTAGTAAAGAAGATTTTTAATTTTTTTTTCATTTTAAAAAGTTCATCGAAAAAAAATATTTTAAATAAGTTGTTTTAGTTTCATTTTCTTTTTTGTAAAATATATTTTGTTTAATTAGAGAATTCATAATAATGAAATTGAAATAGTATATATTTATAGAAAATCTATTTATTAAATGAAAGTAATTACACCTAATATAGTTTATATGATTGTAAATGAAATTAAATCGAAGAATTACAATAATTATGATTTAAATCTTATATCTTCTTTTGAATACAGATAAGTCAATTTTTAGATTTTTCCATTCTTTAGGTGGAGATTTTGATGTATATATTTTCTTTGGATGAACAATTTAATATATTTCAAAGTATATAGACATATAGTAGATGGGTTGTACGTTTGACTCTTTTATAACAACTTATCATTTATACAACATCACTATTTATGCAACACTCATTGTCACTATCACCGTGTTTATCACCGTTATTGTGTTTGTCAACATTATCGTCATCGTTTCATTCACTGTCACTATTACTATTACTTCAGTGTCACCACACCATCATAATCATTGTTATTGTCACCGTCACCGTGTCCGTCACTGTCATTGTCATTGTCACTATCACCATCATTGTTACCGTCACTATCATTGTCACGTCACCATCGTCGTTACCATGATCGTGACCGACACTATCACTGTCATCGTTATCGTGATTGTCATTGTCATCGTTATTGTCACTGTCCCTGTCATCAACACCATCATCGTCAATGTCACCACGTATGTCATCGTCACAAACACCGTCACTGTCACAATCACCGTTATTGTCACTGTCATCGTCACTGTCATTGTCACTGTCACTCTGTCACTGTCATCGTCATTATCATTGTCACTGTAATCGTCATTGTTACTGTCAAAATCACCGTCATCGTCACTGTCGCCGTCGCTGTCACAATCATTGTTACCATCATTGTCATTGTCACCATCACTGTCACCATCATCTTGATCATCATCGTCATTGTCACCGTCACCGTCACAATCACCGTCATTGTCACTGTCACAGTCATCATCATCGCCACCGCTACTATCAATATATTGGGACATATAATAGATGGGCTTATATGTTAAACTATTTTCTAGCGACTAATAATTTATGCAACATCATTATCTTATTTGATTTCAATCTATCATCTAAAAAAGTTTTTAACTATCCTTACGGGACGAAGGTAATCAATTTCAGTTACTATTTTGCGGTCTCTATAATGTATTTTTAGGCTTATTTTTGGAAGAAGCTCACTAAAGATGAATTTGTGATGAATTGACATGGTGACAGGAGTGTCTAATGTGAAGTATAAACCGTAACCATATGGGTTATCCGTGATAGTTTTCTTTTTGAGAGGTCCTCTGTAATAAAGTATTGTTGTTGAACACTAAATACGGTTTGAGTTTTTGAAAAAGGATAAAGGAGTAGGATTTAGAATATAAAGTATTTCCCTCGTTGACCTTGTAAAGCTAACAAAACAATTTAATTATTGTGTTAATAGGAAAATGAGACTCACAAATAATTATTTGTTCAACATCACCATCTATGCAACACTCACTGTCACTGTCACTGTCACTGTCACTGTCATTGTCATTCTCACCGTATTCGTCATCGTCATTGTCACTGTGTCATACCGTCACCGTCTATGCAACATCACCATCTATGCAACACTCATTGTCATTGTCATTGTCATTCTCACCGTATTCGTCATCATCATCATCACTGCATCATACCGTCATCGTCATCGTGTTTGTCACTATCACCGTTACTATCACAATCATTGTCATCATCACCGTTACCGTCACTATTACCGTCACTGTTACCGTCATCATCGTTGTCACTATCACCGTCATCATCACCGTCACTGTCATTGTCACTGTCACTGTCATTGTCATCGTCATCATTACCGTCACTGTCACCGTCACTGTCATTATCACTGTCTCCGACACCGTCACCTCACTGTAACAGTCACCATAATCATCACCATCACTCTCACTATCACCGTTACTGTCTCTGTCACTGTCATCGTCACCTTCACCACCGTCACCGTAACCATCCCGTCACCATCATCGTTACAGTAACTGTCACTGTCACTATCATTGTCACCGTAATTGTCATTGTCACCTTCACCACCATAACCGTCATCGTCACCGTGATTCTCATCGTCATTATTACTATAATTGTCATTGTAACCGTCACATTCATTGTCATTGTCACCGTAACTGTCATGGTTTCCATCACCATCACTGTTACCTTCATGGTTAGCATTACTGTTATCGTTATCGTTACCGTTACTGTTATCGTTATCGTTAATGTTGTGGTTACTATTTTTGTTACTGTTACAATTATCGTTGCCATTATCGTTATCATTATCATTACCGTTATCATTACTATTATCGTTACTGTTATCATTCCCCTTATCGTTGTCGTTGTCGTTACAATTATTGATAACTTTTTGGCAAGTTAACCAAATCGTTTCAAGTGATAAGTGTAAGTTTCAAGTATTGTTCTCCTAAGGGACTTGTGTTTTGTATGTCTAATCCGAATTATTTACCAAAATCAATTTAGAAATGATAATGATTGAATTAATATTTATTATTTTGAATTGAAATAACAAAAAATAAAAGATTACTATTGAAAATTTAAGAGAAGCTTCTTTGAATTTGGGGTTCATGTTAACTCTTTGGCAAGCGTACCAAATCGTTTTAAGTAATAAACCGGTAAGACCGGATATCGTATCCCAAGAGACTCGTATGACACTTTACAATCGTATAATTATCTAACTAATTTAGACTAAAGAATATTTCCATTCAATGTGAATTTAGTGCAATGAAAATAAACATCATACATAAGTGATAGATTGAACTTCTTGGAGTTAAAACACTTGAAAATTAATTGATTAAAGATGATATGATATGGAATGAAGATGTGGAGAATGATTTTACCTATTACACTCTCATGCAAATGCACATTACTACTACTTCATTTAATTGCTCACGTCAACCTACTACATTACTCAAACACAATCCCTTGGTAGAGAGAGCCTAGACTCACTCATTAAATTCCAATCCCTTGGTAACCTAAAAAGTTCATCTGCATTAAGAATATTGGTTTAAGACAACTAAAGGGCCAATCTCTATCCCTAGACACAGTTTCCTTTAGGTGTGTATTCTAGTTCAAGGTTCACACAATACTTTCCAATATCAAGCAAACCTAAGAATCATGTTATGGTTGATCAAGTCACAACAAGCTTTAAGAGAAGGAAATAAACACTCACAATAAATGAAAGAAGCTTATATTCATTAAACACAAGTGCATTTACAAGAAAGTTTCGTAGTTAAATCATTCCCCAACAAAATGAACTTAGCTCTCCATATTGAGCTTACAATGGAAGAAAATGGAAGAGATGGAGACCCAAGGAGGAATAATGGAGAGTTCCCACTACTCAAAACCAGCTCCCAAAGGTCCAAAAATGGTGTTTCGAGCTTTAGCCGCCAAGCAGATGGCACCCTCGTTGCATGGAAGCCTTAAATAGGTCTAGGGTGTCATGTCAGCAAAAGTCGCGCCCAGCCCTCTGCGCAGGAGTTGCGTGAAGAATGGCGCTCGACCCCCTGTTTGGGGCGCCCAGACGCGAGGTCTGCGCAGAAAATGGGGCTCAGCCCCCCTTCTGGGGCGCCCTGGCGTGAGAAATCTTCCATGATCCTTCAAAACACTTGCTTTTTGTAGCTTTTCCTAGGCTCCCACTCTTGATAGTTTAGATGCTCCTCCAAAGCACACAAATTGCCTACAAAACTTGAGGAATTAGTGATGAAAACTCTTATGTATAACCTAAGCTAAACTTATTCACAAAGTTAGATAAAAGAGAGGATTAAGCATGTTTCAAGCTTCAAGAGAGTCGATTTGGTAAGAAAATTGCACCACAGATAATGGTAAAAATTACCGTTATCAGTTCATGAATCACGTTAGAGTAAAATTCTGGACAACATATCATGTGTTCAAACATTTACATCAATGTGTACTCAATTTATTTCCTTAAATCAAGTTCTAAATATATGTGACTCTAAGACGTGCAAAAGAATTTTCAAAGATCCAACACGAACATCTACACTTTAGTAGAAAAATAAAGAAACTTTATGGGAGATATGACTGAACATTCAAGAGACCTGAACTTGTCCACATCGACTTCCATTTGAATATTGTGAACACACATTAAGTCGTCTTTTAATAACTTATGTGTGACTGAGAATAAAAATGGTAGAAGGTCTCACTTCCTGTGATGTTTCAAGAGACTTGGATTGTTTATAGTCTTGCAACCTATTTGAACCCAAGACAACATATATAAATTGATCAAGTGCCATGCTTTTCAAATGTGGATTAGAATGATGAGCTAGCTGAAAGAGCATGTCAAAATATCTAGTGAGATGAAAATGAAACTGCCATTGCCACACCAAAGAAACAGTAAGAAAAATAAAGAGACCTCAAGAAAGTGGCAAGTTACTTGATCCCAAAATGATTCAACTCCTATGGTTAAAAAGGACAATATAAAATTATAATACCTTCACTCGACAACAAAATCAAAATGAATATTCATAAAATTCAAAATTAGTGAATAAAACTTAAATATCACAACTGAAGTATCTACTTAGGAAAAATACAACATAGAATGAACAATTGAATAACATCCAGCATACAAGAATTACTATCATGTTTAGAGTTATGGTTAACATACTGTGAACATTATTCACAAGGATGGATATCATTGCAGAGGCATAAAAAAGAAACGGAAAAATCAAACAAACAAGACAAACAATAAAGCTCTGTAATCACTTATGTAGTATTTGCTAAACAACCCATTGCAGAGACTGTTAACCAAGCACTAGAGAAGCAAAAAGGAAAATCACGTCCTAAAATGAGTCATCACTTGTTAGAAGAAAAGCTTCTTCAGCACTCCACATAATAGATTAAACAACATATTAATATAGAACTATCTCGTCATCTGTTGTATAAAACCCCCTAAAGTTGAGTTTTGTTGCATGTAGCTCTCCCAATTTGCAGTAAATCATCAGAATATGGTTTTGTTGAGATCTTGGAGGGAGTTCCAGAAGGAGCAAATTACTGTACTTTTAAAGAAGGTTAGAATGTGAAGATAGGATTTACGTGAATGTTCGTTAGGGCTATCAAGAATTCACACTCTATTGAAGTTAAAAAACAAATGAAAAAGATCCTAGTGTTGGGTGCCTCCTTTAGAAAAAATGTGCCATAAGCAAGATTTCAATAGTGATTCACTATTGGGTATTGTCATCACACAAACTCATAAGGAAGTAGAGATTTGAGGGGAATATTAAAATATTAGAGGATGATGTTTATAGCTTTGGATTCATTATAATTCTATGTTCTTGGCCTGAAAATGTTAGAGGATGATGTTTTTCATAAGAGTTGGACTGAAAGCAGAAATTTATTATAATTCTATTCTTGTATTTATTTGTGCGACATTTATGCTGGTGCGTGGTTGTTTTTATTATTGTTTTGTCTATATTTTCTATATATTCTATACTTATATCTAATGGTTGTGTTGTCCTAAGATGGTAAATGAACTCCTTAAAACTGCTTCGGATACCCCTCTTAATGCAACAATCTTAAGGCAACAACCACAGTTTGTGGTATTTTATACTTATATCTAATTATATTTTGATTTATGATTTATTATTATATCTTTTTTATGTTAAAAGAAGAAAGTTTATGGATTGATTCTAAGTTACAGGACTTTGTGAATATTTAACTATGAGAAATTTTTTAATAAGAAATTTTTTTTGTTCTTGCCAAGTCCCATAGAATGGGTTAATTTGACCTGTACATCATGTCTAATGGTCCTAAAAGTCTAAAACAATTCTCAAAAAGTAACCCTTTTTTATAAAAAAATATACATTAAAATTATAAATTCTATAGTTTAAACAATAATCTTTATTTAAAAAATAACAAGATAGTTTTTTAAGAAAATAATGACTATGTAATTTTGTAATAGTATTTTTACAAAATTAAATATATTATAAATTATATTATTTTCTACTTTTTTAATTAATTATTCATAAAAAATAGTTAATGTCATCGATAGAAAAGTATGATATTATGAAATATTATGGTCACAAAAATATAAATATAAATATAATACATATGATAATATTTAATCTTTTCATGCAACATAGAAAAAACGTGGAAAATACTTTCGTTTAAATTAGAACAGAAATAATAATTACTTCGTTACTGACATCTTTCTTGCTCGTTTACTTGTCACTCTGTTCTCTGCAACCTCACTTGTCAAACAATTTCCTGATACTGTCACAACAATGGAATCTAACGACATCATTCTCAATCTCTTATAGCAACCTCTCTGTTACACATAATTCTTCAGTAAAAGAAATGTTCTGTCTACAACCAAAAGGTGCTTTGTTTTGCAATTGTGTATATATTGATTTATACACCCACAATTACTAAATGCAATTCCATGGAAAAGAGTCTATATAAGTCATTTTTCTAGGATTTTCTTCTCTTGAGTGAATTTGAGGGAGTGGATTTGAAAAGATTTGAAAATAAATCTTTTTGTCGTTTATTTGAGTCAATTTGGAGGTAAATGAGAGTAGATTTGGAAGTAAATTTTTTTAATTTGTCACGTTAATAAAATCCTATACTAATTCTCACAAACTTCACTTCCAAATCCACTCTCTTTTACCTCCAAATTCACTCAAATAAACGACAAAAAAATTTATCTTCAAATTCTCTCCACTTCCCTCAAATCCACTCAAAAGAACAAGGCCTAAAAGATAAAATAGTCATTTTCAAAATTTAGGATGTGCCAAGAAATTTTGCGGCTGCCAAAAGTAAAATCTTTGTATATATTATTGTTAGTCTAGATCTGCATTGGATCTATTACGTCATTGTTTGGTCGCTTTTTAATGTTCTGGGCCTAAAGTGCATCTCAATGAATAAAAGAACGGAGGACCTTTTCTTTTTTCATTTTCAGTTTTAGTTTGAGACTGTTAAATTCAGACATTTCGAATTATACAAAAGCAAAACGGAAACATTAATATTATTATAATTTGAAATACAAATTTATATTTCATTAAAAATTGTACATTAAGAAATAAAAAATAAAAATCATTTCAAATTTCAGAATATAAAATACATTTTTCAATTAAAATAAATAAATATCTCGAAAGCAGTGGGAAATAACAGAAGAGTAAATGTTTATGAGCGTTGTTATTCACTTTTAAAATTCTACAAAATATAAGATATGCATGACCACTGCACCACACTACACACTTTGAATTCTATGATGTGTTTGGTGAGTCTAACATTTATCCAGTGTCTCAGATATTGGACTTTAGCAGAATGTGGGGACACTTGACCCTACCATAGGGTACAAAGACTTTTGGTCAATCCATAAGTAGTACCTATGAAATCCTTCACATTAATTAATTTACTGCCATACCTCACTCCAAAAAGCACTGCACCAATACAAAGTCATATTTAATTATCAAGTTAGGAAGCCAAGAAATTGGGGAGGGTGTGACTTTGTAACTTGTTTGACCATGTTACTTTGGAGACTGTGTTGCAACTAAGATTTTCAACTGCCATCATCCTTCTCATCCTACTTTCTTTGAGTGCTTAGAATTCTCACCTTTACTTTAACATTTTTTCTTTCGGTCACCTAAGATTCCTTCTTTCCTTAGCCTATTTATTAGATTTATCAAGAGATATTTACTAAAAAAAATACAACAAAATTTGAGTTTAATCATATAAAAAATCAATCTTGAGTTTCTAACCAAGTTTCCAAGTAACCATACCAAAACTACAAAGAAATACAGGATCTTATATTCGATATGAGAAATCATTAATGGAGTCTCGTGTCACTGTCTCAATGAATATTACATTCTACCCACCTTACAACTCCACGACGTGGGTCGTATTCAGAACCAACCATTTTGTTCCTTCGCTATTATTATTATTATTATTATTATTATTATTATTATTATTATTACAAGCTTCATCTTCGTGCTCATTAGGATGATTAGCGTTTAATAATAATGTTTTTTTTCACACAAGATTGACTGATGTTGTTTCAATTTTAATGTTCTATCAAAAATATTTTCTGTTTTAAACTCAACCATGCGTAAGCCTACACTGTGACCACATTGTGTCGACCATCCTTCTTCATGCATTCATCTACTAGTAAAGTCATATAATCTATAGCAATGATATCAATTTTTTTTTGTCGCAAGTCTCTATTATGTGTAGTTTTTTCTTTCTTTCTTCAACATCTATCTTCCTATTATCTCAGTTTCTTTTTCTTTTGTCCGTGCATAGGACGGGCCATTGTTCAATCTATTAAAATATGTAAAGAATGTATATTTAGGCACGCATAAAAAATCCTAAAATATAATGTAATAAATATACTATTGTAACTATGTAATGTCAAATTAAAAACATCTTAGACATTCCTAAAAACAACATAAAGCATTGTAACATAATATATTTCCTACTATGTACAGATTAAAATTGTATGAATCTCATTTGTCCTAAAAAAATCCATAAGACGTTAAGTTTGTTTTTAGTTTATCAAAATACAATGGTTCTACACTTTCATAACTATAGAAATTTCTTTTAATCATTTTATATGTCGTTGTATTAAACTTTCCTAATGGCTAGATACTTCATGTCGGTGGAGTACTTAAAAGTATTATATCAAATAGAGTTTGAAATGGTCATAAAAAAAGTTGAAATATTAATGACTATTGATGGTATTGCAACTATGTTAAAATTTGGTGTGTAGAAATATGTTGTTTTAAATACACTTATTTAGTGAACACCGAAACAAAATGTTTTATTTAATATGCCCTAACAATAAAATGCTCACAACCATACATAAAAAAAAAACGTAATCAATTTAAATAAAATTTAGAAAGCACGGTTGAAAAATTAAAAAAAAATGTATATTGTTTTTGTTGGAGCCAAGAATCACAATCAAAACACTTATTTACACCTTTTCTCCAAGTATCTTAACATCGTCTTCAATCTTCGTTACAAAATTCCCCTAGATCCTTAGTGTTCCAACTCCAAGCCATATGGGTGTCTAATTGTCAAAGACATTATGATGCTTAAGTCAGTGGTATGATCGATACGTTATCATAATAAAGTTTTAAATTTATAATATATGCAATCACCTATATCTTTACCTCATATTTATATTTCTAGGTTTTGAGATGAATTTGTGATTAGAATAGTCCTAATAATGTTTTAATACCTAATAAGTACACTTTACTTGTAAACTTGATCATGAGTTGTATTTAAAGTTTTTAAAGATTTGTGACCGTTTGGTCATTCTCGAAATCTGACCAAACTAACACATTGATCGTAGGCCACTCGTCCAATACTCACCACGCGGTCATACGATACATATATTTAAAATAATAATATTTATAATTAACTTCAAAGTATTTAAAATGAATTTTCATTAGAGTGTCGGTGATGTATTATTTCTTAAATGGGTTATATTAAAAGTAAAAATTTTAAAAAGTAAAATTGAGCTGGAAATTTGAAGATGAAATGAGATTTGTGATTAAACAAATATGAAATATTTAAAAGGTTGTAGAGAGCAATCTCCTATGGTAAGTTTGCAGTTGCACTCAGAAAAATGGTAGTTTGGGGAAAGCATACGACAACACTGGGACACAACTACAGCCACCTACATGGCCCACAGAAAACCTGAAGACCCTTTTGTCCTCCTTCAGTACGGATTTAAACTCACTCAGGCACAAACACTGCACTCAATAAAAGAATTTTAAGAATATTATGAGTACAACTTTATCAGTTAATATTTATATTATTATTTATTGAAACATGCTCTGATTCACTGTCTAATGTTCTCCACTTTACTACTTTAGCAATGTTGCTGGTTATAAAAATATTTTTAAAGAAATCATCACAATGGCTTAATAACTTTGATGAGAAACGGAAATTGTTGAAAATGCACAACAAAAATGATTTCATCTTTTCCTTTGTTAAGTCAGCCACAGAAAAACTACATTTCCAACATTTAACATTTTTCCTTTATACTGGGCCCTAATGACGTCATAGGTCCGTTTAGATATTTCTGGGCCTTGGACCTGTCCCAATCAGGTCCATTGGGAAAGCCCACTGGCCGCCTTATGCACTCATCTTTCCTTTTTTTTCCTCCATATAAACCTCTGCATTTCTTCCATTCCCTCCAACCTTACCATAACAAAAAGTTCCTTCTCACTTTCACCCTCACTTTTTGTTTCTGTCCTTCCCTTTCCCTCTCCTTTCACCCTCTTCAAATAGTGTTGAGAGGAAAAAGGGTCTCAAAGATGGAACCAAAAGACGGGTTTGTTGTTGAAGGTACCACTGTTAGCATGAATTGAACTTGCAGAATAAAATTTGCATCCCCTAGAGTCATAGCTTGCAAAGTTATCCTGAACCTTTTTAATGTGTAATTCATGTTAAAGGTGTATTTTTTGTACTAGCTCAGCTTATATAAGATAATTATTCTGTGACTGACTGAACTATTTTACTTTATGGTAAATGGAAGATATTCTCTTGTATTCTTTTAATTGTTTTTTACTTACTTTTTTTCTCTCCTTGCTACTTTTTATCTAATCTAAAGCTGGCTCCTGCTTCTGGCCCTGCCATTCTTCTTCATTATTCTCTGCACTAATAGGAGCATGATACATGATGCAGGTCCCTATAAGGGTTTTCTCATCATGCACGTGACTAACAGCAAGGTAGCCATGGTCAACCCTCCGAGAATTGGGAGATGTGACCAAAAAGAAGCCATTAGTGGCTCTGAAATTGGAGCTGACAATTCTCCTGAATTGGTGGCAGCAGCAGCAGGAGCTTCACTCTAATCCGGTGCTATCCTATCTGAGCTTTTACTACCTTCTTTCATCATCTATTTTCCATCACACTTTTTTGTTTTTTTAGGACTCTTCTTGACCTTGTAAGGCCTTTTCTTGACCTTGTAAGACCTCACACCCTATCTATTTTCTTTGTTTTTGCTTATTTGGAAAACCCTATATCACAAACCACTGATATAGAGTTTGATTTCCTTCTTTCCCCGTTGCCACCCAATTCATCTTCTCCTTCCTTCTCTATCCCTCCTGAGCTGTTACATTTTTTGCCTACCAAGATGCAACAACTAATATCATGCCATGGCTTCAAAGAACCTCGCTCAATGGCGGTTCTTCAAATCTGCTAGCTATTCGGAGACCATGGCTTCCAGAAGTACAATCTGGGTATATTGTTCTTTTACCTGTGAAAAATCAATGTAGCTTGTAGTTTGTGCAGCTGCTAGCATACTTGGTCGTGGTCCCTCTTGTTGATTTGATTTCTTCTTTTATGCAAAGCAAGTAAGATAAATGTCATGAGTAAGCTCAATTTGGCACTACATGTGTCCTAGGCTGCTAAAGCCCCATCTCTCCATCCAATACATAGAACTGAAAAGCATTAAAGTCACACACTCACTCCAATTGAATCACATCAAGTAGAAGAATGAATCACCCTTCTCTTGCTTAGTACTAGACCTTTCTTTCTCTCTTTTCCTTGTGTAATTTGAAATGCAAATGTTCAATTATCTAATGCACAGACCACACCACCAAGTGAGAGTGTGGGAACTTTCCTAGCAAGTGAGATGACAGCAAATTTGACGCTGAAAACCCAATTTCCCTTTAGCTCTCTTGATTTGGAAGGGTGCTTCAGCCATTCCTTTCACATGGCAGGTGAAGGACAAGCACTTTGGGATAGAATACAACCTGAGCCCATAAGGAATATTACACATCCCAATGTTTTTGATGGGGCTGCGACACACACCTACCACCCTCAAATAGTGAAGAATAATACTTCTCAAATTACCACTTTCTCCTTCAATTCATTTTCTACACAGCAACATATCAAACATGTCGGCATCATAAACAAAAAAACAAGAGGGTGGGGTAGAATTTATGTGTTTTTAACCATATTCCATTTCAGATGCCTAACATATTGTTTCCATCAATCAATCACGTGGTAGACCAACCTAACAGCGTAGACAAAGATTTTTCTCTGTATACATACTGTATGCAGTATATTCCAAAACGGATGCATAAAATTTTGTGTATTGACACGATTTGTGTGATGGTTATGCAAGTCTAGGGAAAGAAAAAAAGAAAGAAAGAATTTGTGACGCATCAACTACGGAAACCTTTTGCCTACAAATTCAATTCAACAGCATACTTTGACTAATAATGTATTCTGGTTTTTCAGGTTTTTAATTACAGATGTACTGCATCAACTTTTATGTACTGCTTTTTATACTCTCTTTTTTGTCTCGATTTTACTAATTGAAACGTAGCCGCAATTGCGACCATAATTTAAAATAGAGCATAAATAGGAATTTTCTCTATATAGGCCTGTGGGGTTTAGAAGTAGAGTGGAAAAATAGTATGCAGCAATAAATGAGATTTGTGAAGTATAAATTCTGATATAGAACTGAAGAGGGATTTTACTTGCATGAAAGGCAGATGAGGAAAATTAATGTAAAGATAAAATTTAGATTGAATGTAATGGAATGAATGAAAGGTTTGACTGGGATGGTGGATTATATGAAAGTGTGGAAGGTAAAGAAGACAGTAAAGGTATAAGAAAAAGGGTTTGTATACATTTTTTATGTGCCCAAAAGGAATCAAAGGTGGCACGAAATGATGATGTCTATGATGGACATTGAAAAGTTAAATGTCTTTCCCTAGGGTATGAGTTCGTAACTATTTACCCTCACCCCACCAAAGGAGCCCTGTTTTTTATGTCTGTGTTTGTAGTTTGTGGCAATGAGAGAGCGCAACGTAAAGGCTGAGCTTGAATTAAGTTACAATGACAATATGATTCTCGTATTCCTTTTGAGGTGATTTGGCATTAGGTACTACCACCCATGGCCCCATCTTGATCAAGCTTTTTTCCACCTTTAGGTTACATGCGAACATGGCTCCTTCATTACCTCTTACTTTTTCCTCAGCATCATTCCGTGACCCTTTGGAGACTAAGGGGATAACATCTCAACAATGCCTTCATGGAAAAAACAGATGGTTGAATAAATTAATAATATCATAAAATGCTTCTTTTCCCAGCAACTGAGATTTAACCTACATTCGTAAACAATTCTCAGTTGTGCAATTAGGAGGGCTACAAACTAATTATTACGTTTGTAGCATGTCAAGGAGACCGTGTGATTTTATTTTTCTTAAATAATTACAGGACAGTGCATCACTAATGCAATTTTGCAAGGTTTAACACTGGAAAGAGTTTATTGTACACAAAGTCTGTGCTGAGGTTTAGTACTTCCAACACCACTGTCTATACTCTAAATATCAGGGTCTGGAGAGCCTATATCTATACCTGAGTAAGGAGACCTTTCTTGAGGTGGGTTTGTTTTTCCGGATTTTTTCAGTTTGACATAAAAAGAATGAAAATAAAGAAAAAGATAATAAAAAAAGGGATTGTTTAGATTTAGAAAATGAAAATAATTAAAAATAATAATAATAAAATTATAAAATTAGAATTTTCACTTGTGACGCTAAAGACATTTGGATCTTGTCAAAAGTCAATCCAAAACCATCACTAACCAATGCCTATTACTTCCATGAATGAAATTAGAATCAATAGAAGAATTGAATAGAATTCAAAAATGTGCTGCATCAAGTTGTCAAAATATACACAGCAATAAGAAATGTCAAGCCAAAATAAAACAAATGCAAGACAACACTACCGAAATATTAATCTTTTGGATGCTGGAGTGCTAACTCCGATGCAGCGGCTGTCATCTTCATCCGAACAAATGGTTTTGGCTCGGGAGTCCAACAGAAGCCATAATCGCAGCGGCGGAGAGGAAAGGAAAACCACTGCAAAGTAGATTAGAAGAAAATGAGATTAAGAAAGCATTACAATCTGCTTTGAAGATGCCGAGAGCGGAAAGCTCCATTTACTGTAAGAGAAAGCATATCACAAGAGATAAGGCTTCCATTAGAGCTCTATAAAAGCTTATAATAGACTTCAACCAGGACCTACATCTAGTTCCCAAACCCTATTCCATAATTTTATATTTTATGCTTCACTGGTCGAAGCCATTCAAAAAACGGGAAAAGAAAAATAAAAATAATAAATTCAGTCTAATGGATTATTCCATTTGAACCAATTGGTTTGTGACATATTTTTTTAATTATATTTTTATTAATATAAATTATTTTATTATTTTATTTTTAAAAAAATTATAATTATTTTTATTAGTATTTTAAAAGGTTGATACATGTACATACCTGCACGTATTTTATTAGTATTTATCAGTTACGCTATATAATAATTTTACATTATATAGTTAACATAATATAAATTATTATATATAATATAATATAATATAATATAATAAAAAAATAAAAATATTAGCATAATATATTAAAATAATAAGATATATAATATAATAAAATAATAAAAATTAAAAGTAAAGAATGTTTGAAAAAAACAAAATAGATAAATAATGTAAAACTAGTTCAGTTGGATTAATAAGTGACAAAAATTATTTGTACATTAATGTTGTTATTCTTATTTTTTAAATTGAATTAAAAGGTTTGAGAAAAGATAATACAATTTAATAAATAATTTCAAACTTATAGTACAACTTCTGTTTCACACTAAACAGAGTGATACTTCATTAATTAAGTACCACCAAAGTTTAATCTCAGTTTCATAATTGAATAGATGTTTTAATAATAACATAGTGTTATTTTATCATTTTAAAGTTCATCAAATAATTATTAACATCAAATATTAATGTCTGTAGAGCAAAATGTTAATTAATTAGTAGTATTTATTGAATAAAAAGTTAGAACACTAAGATATTTTCTTAAGACGGTAATTAACATTCATCAATCAATAATTTCATTAAAATTGAGAATTTTATTTCTTTTGGAATGAGAACACTAAAAAGATTTTCGTAGGAGGGGAGACTTCTCTCAACTTCATTGCACATTCTATGCATACACATTCTTTGCATGAGATTAATTTCTTGGATAAAAGTGTATTGATTAGGACATAAATATTAATAAGTCTATGTAATGATAAAAACTGTAGTTTTTATTCCAGATTTAATCTGTGTAATTTTTCTTGTTTTTTACCTTTATAAAATTGAAAATTGTTATTTTTTTGGGACAACCCAAACCCAAATTAGTAGGTAATACTACTAATTACATTATTTAATAAAGTTTAACACATATTTTATTTATGATACATATGAAATTTTTTACGATAGATCTTTAACTTAGTATAATCAAATTAGTTTCAATATTTAATACACAAATATATTTTCATTTTTTATAATATGATAGAAAAATTATTTTCATCATTCTATTATCACTTTTAAAGATTTTCTACAATAATTTTCATTCAGTTTTCTACTCACGTATACAAAAATATATGAAGTGAAAACCACATTTACAGAAATACAAAAATAAACCAGTAAATATAGTCCATAACTTCGATAATCAAAAAATTTCAATAATTCTAATTAATATCCAACATATTATGTTTTCTTTATAGTATACACAATCAATAAGAACCACTAAATATTTATATAATACAATCCTCATGACTTAATACTCATAAATAATTCATAATAACATGATATTTGAAATTTTCTTCTAGAAGCCTAATGTAGTAAGTGACTAAGAAATTTTGCACGTGTCATGTCTCTCGTCCCTTTTAGGAAATATAGTTATAGATTTGAGAATTAAAACTTAGAATCATAACCAGACCATGATAAGGTAACATTAAAGTATTACTCTCACCCTAAGAGATACAACAATTCATAATACCACGTAAGGATTCATGTCATTTACTCTAACACAATATTTATAGAAGTTCATCCTTTAAGTTTTGACAAAATTTCTTAAGATTATAAAACAAATATATCCGACTTATAATTCCAACAATTAAAAAAAAACTGTATTACAAATGTTTAAAAAATTCAGTCTCATCCAACAATTGATAAAGTAAAATATAGAGTTTTACTATTTTACCAAGACAATGAAAAATTAACAACAACAAAAAAATGACATTCAAATTTCTCTCAAAAATACACAAATTATTTATCTGACTACAAACCTTTAATTATAAATGTGATTGTAAGTAAAATAGAGGAGAAAAAATAGGAAGGTAAATGCACTGGAAGAAGAAGAAAAGTAAGATGTGGAATTTGTTTTTTGCATTCTATTTTTTACTTTCTCTTTTATCTTATTAAGATATTATTAGAAGGTGATCACCAAATGTTTTACTGTTTTCTTTTAGAAAACTTGGTACAAGAGAGAAACAAAAAGAAAAACATGTGTAAAAAAAAATATTTTACTATTTTCTTTTATAAAACTTGGTATAAAGGGACAAACAAAAGAAATTAGTAAGCATTCACATGGATACCAGTAATTCATGCTTAATTATTGTTATACTTATTTTTTTAAAACATTAATTCTTACATGTGACATATTAAAACATTATTATAAATGGAGATCAATGCTTAGAACATTAATTTTCTTCTTATGGTATTAAATGCTAATATATTAAATAAAACATCAATCATCTCATTTTGAAATATATTTAAAAATTAAGATAAAAATAAGAAAATTATATTTTTTATTTTACAACACTCATTGAACACAAATTTAGATGATGATTTTAAATGTCACATCATATCAAACAAAACTTTTAAGATTAAAAAGGTAAATACTAATTTAATATACTAAATTGTGTTAAAGATTATAGATAATTATTTAACATTTTTTAAAGAATAAAATTAAAGAAAATATTTTACAAAGAATAAAACTAAATTAAGTAATTTATAAAGATTAAAAAAGTAATTTCAAATCTTGTAGAAGAAAATAGTAACGATTTTTTATTCAAACACTAAAATGAAAATCCTTAATTACATTTAATTACGTGGACTAAATTAATATTTAAAGTCTCTTATATCTCTATCTACCTCTCTCTCTCTCTCATATATATACATAGATATATAAACTAATATAAAATATTATATATTCATAAAAACAAATATTACTTAAAATATGAATATTTATTATAATTATAAATATAAATAGTGTTTGAAATTTGTTCTACTCAATAATTTGTGATATAAATAGAAATAATTAATTTTTTTTTCTGTACCTAAATATAACATAGTTATATAAAATATGTCAAACTTTTTCAGAAGAAAATGTGGATAGTGAATGAAAAATTTGGTTACATAAAAACTATTTAACTCTTTTTGTTATTTAATATACAAAATATTATAAATGAATATTAAAATGTACACATTTGAGTCACATGTAAGCATTAATGTTTTGCTTACAAATTTTCTTCTTATTACTGTCAGATATAATATTTTAAACATCAATAAATATTAAAAAAAATATAAACTGATAATTATTCATATATAGTAGCAATAAATAATATATATATATATATATATTATACTATCAGGAGATATATTATACTGAAACAAAAATATAATAAAGATTTTATAAAACAAAGATAGAACTATGATACATCTTACTCTAAATTTTAGCTCTGTCACCACTAGTGTAAAATGGGCATACAACATCTAACAATCAAGTATACAACATCTAACAACCAAGCATCCAACGTTAAAAATGATTAGTAACAATATCGTAAATAAAATCATGCGATTAACGTCGGTTAGTTAAAGAAACATATGTTAATTGTCTTTTTGATGTCTGTTAGTTAAAGAATAAACATCTATTGGTGTTCAAATTTTAAAAAATTAGAGCGTAAAAATGTTTTAAGAGAGACCCATCATACGTATGTTGCTTAAAGAACAAACGTCTATCGGTGCTCAGCGTGAAGATATTTTAAGGGCGTGAGAAAAAACACTTGCTTCACTATTTTTGTGCACACTTTCTTCATTGTGGGTCAAACATCTTTGAGGAAGTTTTCAACGCCAACAAAGCTAATGTTTCTTCCACTTAACACAAATGTTTGTTGATTGATGGCTCTATGTATCATTTCCTTTAACTGATTGGTTTTGTGCATAAACACCATTTGGAGCATCGTTGAGTTCTCTTTTTTCCCTTTCTGACGGTGGTTGTCTTCTCCTCACCCTTATAGCGATACTTGTCTACTCCCTCATCCTCACGATTAGTTTCATTTTTGGCTTTTTATGTAGATTGGTTGTTGCACTTTTTATTTGTCTACTCCCTCATCCTCACAACAATATCATATTCATGATATAAATCAAGCAATATAAAAATAATTATATCAATTTTGAACTTCGACCATCCTGATACAAGTATTGATGTCAGACTCATAGGGACTTGCCCTGTGTGTGGTGAAACAACTCGCCAAAAATCATAGTACCACTCCATCAAACTATCACACACCAAGTAATCCGTCAAACATTTATGATCAATACATGACCATTAGACTAAGGACCTCATGTTACTCTTCACGACATAACCCTTCATCTCTACTTGAGATTGAGAGTTGTTGAGAGTGTCAAAATCATTCCCGAATCCCGGAGCTCTTACCTTAATACACTACACAACATAACAATCATAAGGATTTTTTCATGGAATCCTTTTCACATCATACTTAATCCATACTTTCCATTTCATTTGAATATCATCATACATATAATGCATACTAAAATCCATAGGCAGATCCCTGCTTACCATCCATAAAACATTCATTAATTTCACACAAGTAAGTAATTAATATATATAAACCATTATGTAATTCAATAGTTACTTTAAAAACATCCTCAAAACCCTAATATAACTTAAAGTTACAAGAAAGCAAAAGAAAGAAAGACTCAAAACATATGATCTAAACAGGTTGCTCAACGTCTATACTCGTTCAGTGAAAAGAAAAATTTATCACTCAGCGAGTACTCTCGCCTATCCAATGCTACAACAAGCTTCTCCCTCAAACTAACTCGTTCACGTCTCATAGCTCTCTTTGCGAATACAAAATTTGTGGGTTCTGCTCCCTCAACGCCTATACTCGCTTAGTGAGTACAAAAATAATAGGTTATGCTTGCTCAACGCCTATATTCACTCAGTTAGACATGGATTTTGATCGCTCAGCACCTATATTTTTGCTCCGTTAGACTGTAGAATAACAATTCTATAGAATTTGAACCTACCAACCTTAAACTTACTTACCTCAAATGTACTTCCCAATAAACATATGAATCAAACCACTAATTTATACCCTAAATGTAACTTACTAACATGTTTATGATTAAACTTAGGCACCACTAAAACTATTTTCCCATCAATTAGACTCATCAATATCCAAATCATCATTTAAAAGCTCGTTATTCAATTCTCTTCATTTCTAATCTCATTTTGATAAACTAAATAACCAAACAAGTCACAATTTACTCAACAATAAACCCTTAACATCAGGTTCTCCTCCAAATCAATTCCTATAGAAATTCATTTTTGTTGAAACCCTAATTTGGGCTAAAAAAACCATTTAATTCTTAACCAATTTCTCACCATCATTCTAATTTATTACTAAAACACATTTCAGTAGCTAAAAACCAACCTAAAACAGATTTTCTATCATGCTAACTCATTCAAACCAATTTCAACTTAACAAGTTGTCTTCAACCAAGATTCACCACACTAAACCATCAATTTGACATATTATACAATAAATTATCATAAAATTCAATATAGATTCAACAATGATTCTATACAATTTCACATTCTAAATCCGATTATCAATTTACTACAAATTTAAAAACTTGGTATTTAGTTTCCCTTATCTGATAGAAGCTTAAACAATTCGAAAGGACATAAAACCGCTTCCTCAACTCACAGAACTCTATCTACACTTACCAACCACGAAATCATGATTAGGTTACGCAATTAGAACCACTGATCAACAAAGAAGAACATACTAGAAAACTAAGAAGACATATGGCACAGACAAATCTTCACATGCATGGAAGATTCCTATAACTCAAGAAAAAGAATAAAAATTTGTTTACTCTTTTAAGATAACTGTTTAACTATATTATAAGATCTTGTTACAGTAATCACTTGAGCATTCTGATGACCAGCAGGTAGAACACCTAAAGAAAAGGAATAACAATAGAAGAAAATGTTTTAACAGAAATGATGTGACTTGAACTAATGAAATTATAAAACTTCTATTTTGTACTATAAACTTTTAATATTGAAATATTAATATTGAAATATTAGAGTCTGGTTGCTTAATCACTTTACCAATTCTAGAAAGACAATTTTATTGCTTCTTACAAAATAAATAATAATTTAAAAGATTATCTTAAAAGTTTAATAAAATGAAAAGAAAAACATAGTAATTAATATATAACATTAACTTTGAATAAAAATTGAATTTTTTTCACAGTAAGCGATCATTTTTTAAAATATTTTCTCAACCCTTTTATTCAAACATTTGATAATAATAAAAGTGATATTAGTATACAAAATATAAAATATTAAAAGAAAATTAAAAACACATTCAAAGTTCATTTGAATACTCTATTTGAATTTACAACCAAAATGATTTTTTCATTTAATTCATTGATTATCTATTTATCTTATTTTATTATTATATATCATTTTGAAATAATTAGTTTAGGTGTCTGGGACACTTAAAAAATGGAATAAAACTTATTTGAAACGTGACAAAATCGTTCATATAAACTATAGTGATAAATTTATTATAAAATGAAGTGGTTCACAAATTTATTAAAAGAAAATATCAACAATGTCAATCATTAACATTAATAACAAAGCAATTGATTTTTTTTTATATTCAACTTAAGTGCATGCACAATTTCCATTATGATTTCTAACCGAAATGGTGAAGGAATTCAATTTAAAAACAATTTTTTTTTAACTAATTATAATTCAAAACAAATTATATTGTGAACGTTATTTTTTATTTATTATAATTTGCATAATTTATATTGATTAATTGATTGATTATACTTATATATTTTCATATGACTTATTTGTGAATTTGGTTGAAATTGTAATAGTTTAGAATGACACGTGGAAGTTTGTCTAACACTAATTTTTTTTTGCAATATAAACTAGTAAATAAAATAAGAAAAATACTGTTAATTCTCAGAATCTTTTGATAAGATTGATCAATATGCTTATTTCACCACTGATGTATTATTTTTTCATACCTTACAAATTAAATGGTTTTTATCCTTGATCACAAGCACGGTTTAATATCATAACCTTGATTTCGTGATCAAAGTTTAAACATCACGTTACTATAATCAAAATAAAAAATTAAAATTTATTTATAAAAATGATAATATATTTATAGCATATATACACCCTATCATAAATATATTTGTAAGTTAAAATTGGCAATCTAGTTTTTTAAAAAGGAATTTCACTTTATTTTTTTTAATTCTATCTATATATTTACTTATTTGACCTTGATCTCAAAATAGATTTTTGATATTTTGTTTTGAATAACTTTTGAATTTCTATAAAAATTCAACCTTACTTATCTCTTTCTTCTAATAATCTTGTTAAATATATTTACTTTTAAAATTTATCTATTTCTTTCCCCTAATAATAGTATCAAACATATATTTATTAAAATGAAACAATTAACTTTTAATTTTCAACCGTGAGATGGATCTAAGGGGTCACAATATGTTTTGCCTTTGCTGATTTTCAATTTTTAATATGATCCATCAGATGTATCGATAGGTTGCTGAAGAGACGCTGAAAATTTCATAAATTTCTCCACCTCCCTCTGTAGAAACTCTTTTTGCAGAGAGATCCTTAAACTAAAATTCAATCCAACGGCTGGAGTTTGATATTAAAAAGAATCCATTAGCCCAAGCAAAAGAATCTAGAACCCTCTTTTCTTCTCTGTGGCCACCGCCTTTAACACAGCCCTAGCTAAATTGCAGAAGAATCCACCTTTTAATCCGTGTTGGGAGAAGACACACTTCAAATCCTTCTTGATTGCATCGTCTAACCCTTCCATGGGTGAGTCATTTCCTTTCATTCTATCCATTCATTACCTTCTCATTTTCCCTCTACGGGTTCATTCTGTTCATCAATTCTTGATTATTTTCTGCTAGCAGCATATTTTTTCATTCAATTCGAACATGCACGCTTTTATTTTAAGGCTCAATAATCTACCTTAAAACAAGGTTTGTTTTCAGGTATGTAATGCGTGAATTTTGAGGTGCTGGTTCTGTTTGGTGAGAATGAACATCATAAAAGTTAGTCCTGGTCCACGTGTTCGTGGGGTTCATGCCCCCAACTTGTATAGGTTGCGACGCGATTTTAATTCTGGAGCATGTTCATTGCCGGTGGCTTTTGACCCTCTCTATGTGACTTCACTTTGCCTCAGACCTAAATCTTTATCTCGCTCTCAAGGCCAACCTGTCCTTAAATTTTGCCAACCTCTTCATATATGTTTGGCCGGTGGACAAGGAATGATGGAAAATAATGGGGTACGAATACACCTATCTTTTCTTTTACATTGCTAGTTATTGATTTTTTTTTTCCAGTTAGATGCTCCTTCAGAAAACTTTGATATTGCTAAAGATATCAAATGTATCTTGCATCCTGTGAGCGTTTTTATTGGTATTGTGTTTGTTCGGTTGTACTGCTTCAGAAATATTCATAGAAGATACAAATTATATGGTTAAAATAAAAATAACTTTTTGATAAAAATTTGTGAAAGCCTTTTGATATTTGTTGCTCCAAAAATTGTTTTTAATTAATGCATGAACAATTTTTAGTTTATGGATAAGTTTGTTTTTTTAGGTAGAGAAATGGGGCCAGTTTGTTTTTGTGAGGCCAATTTTTGACTGAAAAACTTTTCTTTGTATAACTCTAGTTTTCTTCCTAAAGTGAACCTCTGCGTTGTGTGAATAGAAGTGTGTGAATAGAAGAGTTGGCGTTCTGTGTATGCTCTTGATATATATTATTTGGGGTTTTTGTATTTAGGATTTGAATTGTTCTTTAGTTACTAAATACTAGAAATATAATTAGGATTTCCAGAGCAAATCTCTTCAAGAAGCTATGGAACAATTTAAGGGACAGTCCATAGAGGATATATTGCGACAGCAAATGCAGAAGGGAGGCAGTGGAGACTTACCTCCTGGAGGACGCCGTGGCGGTGGTGGCAGAAGCGATGGGGGCAGTTCTGGGGGATCAGATGGGATGTCAAACGAAAATCTTCAAGTTGTTTTAGCAACAGTTTGCTTTGTAATAATGGTAAGGTCTGTCGTTGTTGCATGAATTGTGCGTGTCTACTTATTCATTTAGTCTAAGATTTCTTTATTGTTTTATTGTGTGAAAAATGAAGGAAACCAAAGTGACGATCCTAAGATAATAACTGTGGTTAACTGTGTCCGCAAATATAATTTTCTGTACTTTTTCTGAATTATTTAGAATGCATAAGGTGGTTGAGCTTGAAATATACTTATATGCAAGATTGGTGATGATATTTGACTACCTTCTTAGATATGATTAGTTGATTAACAAAGTTGGTAGGATGCTTGTGCCATGTCCCATTTTATAATACCCTACTTCTTTTTCCAGTATATTTTTGTCATCAATGGCTTAGAACTTATAAAGCTAGCTAGGGACTGCATCAAGTTTGCGTCTGGTAGAGGCCAGAGTGCTCGATTGAAGCGAGCCATGTACAACTGGGTTAAACTTTACAAGAACATCATGGAGAAGAAGGAAGCTGTTAAGAATGGATTGGAGAAAGCCTGCACATGCTGGTTCGACCCTGATTTCTTCCGAGGTGTCAGTAGGCATAATTTGAAATCAACTCATGAATAATTTTTTTCTGTACCTGTTATAAACCTGTTTTCTTCTTTAGGTCAAAGAGTGCTTTCAATATAATTTTTTGGTATACATTCAATAGTATGCTTAGGTTGCTGACTTATCACTATTCGAGAATATAACAGGTAAATAAAATGATTTCAGTTCTTTGTATACAACGTTTTTCATCTATAGGGAATACTCTAGCAAGAGACACCTACAGTTTCTTGTGAATTCAAGCGTCTAGTGAGTTTTGCTATGTGCGATTAGGTTGGTCATATCTATTTTCCGAGCATCCTGTTTCAACTCGTTTTACCCTTTTCTGGGGTGATGCTAAACATAGCTAGATTCTCAAGAACAATCTAGAGATTTTCATATTTTGCTCTCAAAGTAAGAGGTCAATGAATTCTTCATGACTTACAAGAAACTCCTTGCTAGCCAGTTGCAAAACTGATGAACAGAAAAGTTGGATGCTTGGGTCTGCATATTTTTGGGAAGTAATGAAATGTCACTTAATCCAATTTTCTTCCAATAAGCTAGAGTATAAAATGTTATTAAGGTAATTCTGAGTTTAGTTTTTTTTTTTTAGAGTTGCTGTTGTGAAGTTTGTTCTTGCAGTGTGCAGATTGTCAAATTGATAGCCTGTGTAATACTCCAGTCTACATTGTGTAGGATTTGTCAAATGGGTAGCCTGTCTAATACTCCAGTCTGCATTGTAGTAATTATTACCATAGGATTCTGGGGTAGTAGTTCTGAAACCTTAAAATTGGTCGAACTTTGTTAGATTCATTGTTAAACATTCTAAATATTTTACTTAAATTTCATCTATTTTGATAGATCTCAGTCCATTTGGCAGAGAAATATTTTCTTTGCTTTCAGTTAGTGGTGAAGCAGCTTATAGTCTAAACCATACCCATTGCTCAAGATACTGCTAATCTGAAAGTAAGTAAGAAAGAAGGAAAAGAAATCACTTGTTGAGCTTTGTTAACAATCTTGTTGAAAATAAATCCAAGAAACAAATGATTTATTTTGTGTCTGATTATTTGGTATTAGAATTTTTTAATATTCCAATCAAAGACGGTAGAGTGATTTGTGATTTTATCTATATATGGAAGGTTTGGTTATATATGATAGTGCTTATAAAGAAGTTAGAATGCATGTGGATAGTTTTTTAATTTTTTTTAGCGTGTAGATTTTTATTTATGATGAATTTGTGGATCATGTTTTGGAACATATTGGGAAAGAGTGTTTTCAGAATTTTTAGTTAAAGACTGATTTTATTTTAGTTTTTCATAATTTTTTTTATCAAGCAAATAGCTTTTTAAAGTTTTAGAAGATGATGTCTATTATTGTAATTTGGAAACATAAGTTTTTTATGTTTTTTGTGAGGAAGGAAAATTATTGTGATAAGTTTGTTAATTTAAATTTTATTAAAAAGTAATCATATGACAAACAATTGATGATTGTTTGGAAGTCAAGATAGCTTAAATAATTTATAATAGTAATTTTATACTATTTTTGAAGTTCTTTTTGAGAAAGAAAGGATAACTACTCATCCAAAGTAAAATTGAAGTTGTTTTGAGAAAAAAAAAAGGAAGCTATTCTGTTTTTTTGTATTGTTACTCTTGTAAATTTAAAAGAATTGGTAAGACTAAAAAGTTTTGAGAGTAAAATATAAGGCAAGGAAAATTTGAATATAATATTTACAAAATGATAATAATTGTGATACAACTTTAAATTGGTGATATAAAATTAAGGTTTGAAAGAAACACATAAAAATCACATTTATTGGTAGATAAAATTAACAAATACAACAAAATTACTGACTAATACAAATTTTGTTCACAGTTTTGTCCATAATTATGATAAATATTTTTTTTATCAATAGATATTGTAATTTGATATTTTTTTTAAATAGACTTATGTTATTATGTGAACATTTTATTAAAAAACTTAAAAATAAATATGTGAAGAAATCTATCATAAAATAGTGAAAACTAATTTTTTATATAATTTTTTATAATAATTAAAATAATAAAATTATTATATTGTTAAAAGTTAAATATAAATAATTTTTATAATTTTATTATAATTAATTTTTATTTATTTTACATGTAATTTTAATTAGAAAAATGGTTAAGTTTAAAAAATATCAAATAAAAAAAGTTAAATTGAAATATATGGTCATTTAAAAGATAATATTAATAGAAAAATTATTTAAATTTAAAAAATTATTTAAATAGTAAAAATAGAAAATAAATGTGTACATAAATGAAAAATTTATATAGGTATAGATAGATTAAATAAAAACATAAATGTTAATTGTGAATTTATGATTCCTTGATGAAAATTATTTTCCATACTAAAATCTTTCATTTCTTAAAATATATTAGTCAATTTTTTTTTTTTAAATTAAACTTCCATCTTCTTCTTCTTTATATTTTCTTTTTCTTTTTCTTCTTCCTTTTTCTCTTTGTATTACTAATGTCTTTTTAAGTCTCTCATTTTCTTTTCTTTTCATTTTTTTCTCTTCTTCCATTTCTTTTTGTTTGTATTGTCATCATTGTTACAACAACAACTACCATTGTTATTGATATCACCTCTTCTCTTTTCTCCTTCTTTTATTTTTTCCTCCTATTTATTTTCTTACTTCTTCTAATTTTATTCATTTTTATTTAATTTATACCAAATGCTTCATAAAATTCAATAAAAAAGCCATCGTATCAATTAAATTCATTATTTAATTGATAATGATTTTACTAAAGGATTTATCAATAAAATTATCTATAACTTTAAAAAATATATAATTATCGATGTATAATTCATCAGTAAATATTATTTCACCAACAATTTTTTTTCATTGACAAAATTTCAATATTAATATTTTCTTACAATGAAAATAATAGATGTATAAAAACATGAAAACTTAAAACACACAGAAGGATGCAGATACACATGTACACACTCCCATACAGTTTCATTAAAACTCAATTGGTCATATGCTTAACTATTAAGTAAATGAGTTAGGAATTGAACTTACTAATCATTATTTAAATTGTACAATAAGTTTATATTTAATATTTTAACCTTATACTTTTATCCCTTGTATAAAGTTGTGGTTTAATTTTTAGTTTATAAACCACTAAAACCATGTTTAGATACGTTCAACATAAGTCACAAAAACAAAATAAAATTGTTGACTTCTATTTTATGTATATCGAAAATTGGGATATTCGATTTAAAGGAAATCCAAATATGCACTAAACTGTGGGTTAAGTGTCAAATAGTTTTAAATTAAAATAATTTTGTAAATACAAATTATGGAATATAAAATTTAAGCTAAGAACAACTTTTGAAATGTATTAATTAAAACCCTTACATAATTGATGCATAATTTTATATGATTTGACATTACATCTACTATAGCCAAATTCCCTCAGAGTTAGTAAACTATAAATATTGTTTATTTTAGAGGATGAAATGTCTTTGCGATTTTATTTTTAAAAAACATTTTGAAAAAAAGGAACAGAACAAGTATCTAAACTATTTGATATTTATTCATTTTAGAGTATAAAACATAAAAATTTAATTTTAAGGAACATCTTAAAAGATAAAAACTAAAAAAATATTTAAAGTGTCTGAAAACTACTCTTAAACTAAGTGAATATATTAAGTGTGGTAATACTAACAGATATCAAAACTACAACAAGGAAACAGAATATCTTATATTAATGGATTTTCATGTTCCTGTCTCACTAGATATTACATTCTACCAACCTTCCAACTCCACCACATGCGTCCTATTCAAAACCAACCATTTTGTTCCTTTGCTATTGTTATTATCAATAATACAAGCTATTGGGATGATTAGAGTTTAATAATAATACTTGTAATTTTTCATTCATGATTGAAAGATGTTGCTTCAATTTTAACACTTCTATAAAAATTATTATTTTCTGTTTTAAATTCAACCATGTGTAACCCTACATTGTGACTAAACCACCCTTCATGGCTTCATCTACCACATGTATGTATGTTTATCATATTAGATATAAATGTTGCTCAATTCATTTTCTTTTCCAAATGGTAAAGTCAAGTAATATATATTAAAAATATAAAAATTATTTGTCATAAGTCCCTATTTTATGTAGACCCACTATGTTTTTTTATATTCTACTTTTAGCATTTATCTTTCTATTATTTCAGTCTCTCTTTTTTTTCTCACATTCTATTGTCTAGTTATTGTATAAAAAACATGTAGAGTATATAAAAGAAGCATATTTGGTCATGAAAAAAAAAACCCCCATAAAATACAATATAATAAACATACATTGTAACTGTGTAATAAATTAAATTCTAACATAACCTTATTTGAACTACGTAAAATTAAATAAAAAAACATCTTGGAGAATGCCAAAAGCAAAATGAAATTTTAAAGCACTGTAACATAATATATTTTCTACCATCTACAAATTAAAAGTATAATAATTTCATCTTTTCTTGAAAATATCTCTAAATTAAGTTGTTTTAGATGGTTTAAAAATATATTTTTAGTTTATAAACTTGAAAGTGAAATTATAATTAGTCTCAGTTCCAAATTTTTATATATTTTGGTCTTGAAACTTAATAAATAAATAAATATAATTATTTTAACCTCATAACGTTAATTTATTTGGATTTATGTTTATATTGATATTTGAACTCAAAACTAGTCAATCAGCAGTATAAATCATTCAAAAATCACAATGAAACATATTTGACACCTAAAAATAATTTAATTTATTAGATTAAAAAATTATATCCTTTTATTTTTAAAATTGTGACCTAATCAAAATTTGAAATCAAAATAAATTTTAATTTCGTGTAACTAAAAAGATACTTAACTATAAATCTTAAATCCTAGATGTCATAATTCCACAATTTCATGTATACACATTTCTTTAATATTTTGGATGTTACTGTATTGAATAACTAGATACTTTATGTTGATAACGTATTTAAAAGTATTATATCAAACAAAATCGGAAATGGATATATTAAAAATTAAAAATATTAATGATTTGTATGGATATATTAAATAAATATTAAAATATGAATAATTC